GAGAGAGAGAGAGAGAGAGAGAGAGAGAGAGAGAGAGAGAGAGAGAGAGAGAGAGAGAGAGATGTGTTCGAATGTGGATCGATATGGGCCATATAAAGCTGATATGCTGCTGAAGAACTCAAAGATTTCCTGCAAGTTGTCAGTCTGTAAGTCTTCTTCTTCTTCTTCTCCATCTTATCAGTCTTCTTCTTCTTCGTCTTCTTCTCGTCAGTCTTCTTCATATTTTGTCAGTCTTGTTCTTCTTCAGAATGAAAGGTCGATAACATGCATGCAGCAGACATCAGAGCAGCAGGCAACAAACATGCAGAGCCCCCAACCCAGTACATATCAGATGGCATACATTCAGCATACAGCAGGCAACATACATGCAGAGCCCCCAGCACGCCCCACCCAGACCAACACACCCCCCCAAACCAAAATTTTATTGCAGATTCGGGGTCCTCTCGCCAAGCGCAGAACGACCCCGGTTTCAGCAAATAAAAATAACAAAATCTGGGCGTTTTTTTGGCCCACCCGGTTTACCCGGGCGGGCCCCCTGGGCCCAACTGGCCAGGCGGCGTCCTCACTCAGATTATTAGTCTATTAGGGAAAACCATAATGATCAGTCCAGAGTCCAGAAACCGTAAGCAGCAATCCCCCCCACTGACAGGTTGTGACCCGAAAGCCTCTTTATTACCATTAAGTAAGTGGTAGAGACATAATTTTTTTTTCACGCGCAATGGCAACTAAGTTGAACTAACCAGAAAACAATTATCCAAGTCACCAGACAAAAAGAGGAGATCATCAAGAAATTTACAGAGTCAAAATTAGGGGAAGGCTATGCTACCAGCCGGGCTGCGCGGGTCACGTTGTTTTCCCGGGTGACCTGGCCGTGCAAGGAGCAGGGAAGGTCCCAGCGGAAAAAAAGAAAGTGGGGAGGGAAACTACATAATGCAAAAAATAAACTGAACAACTTTTGTCTCAGGGTCACATCGAAAATTCTTTACCAAATCCAAAATACAACATAAAAATTTATTTATTTGTTATTATTATTTCTTTTGGGCCCGGCCGGGAAAGTGGTCCCGGGCCACTCTGGTTGCCTAGGAGGCAGATGGAGTACTAAAATAGTCAAATTAGGCACGACAGAAGGTGACAGACTCAAACAAAAAGATTGGTTCAGCATACCGACTAACAATAGGCAGCAGTTAGACAGAGCCCCAATCCCGGTACTGGACATTCCACTGCAACCCCCAGACCTTGAGGTAGGAGATAGAGTAGAAGAAACAGTTTTAACTCTCAGGAAATACTTGTAGCAAGGGCTGCACCACCTGCTATAGGAGGCCTGAGTCCGATGAAAGGGCTGCTGGACCCGGTTTTCAGCCATTAGTATAAAAAGTTTTTCATTAAAAAGAAAAAAGACAAGACCATTCTGAAAGAGCTGTAAACAAAATAGCACACCTGTGGATGAGTGAGTCGGGGAACCTCCACTGAAAAGCAGTCTATAGTTTAGCGACTGATCATCTTCAAGCCTCAACCTGGCCAAACTGTTGGGTCACCACCTTTGATGCAAATTCATGACAGGTTTCCTGCTCAAGAGAGCCATGACCCTGAACTTAGAATATCGACATGCACAAGAACATCTACATACAAGGCGAGCGAAATTCTGAGGCTGCCAAGAGCTCTGACCTTGTATGCCTTGATCAGCTGCTGGGATAAGGCATTGGCATCGAACTTCCCTTCGTAAACATCTGGATGATACTCTCTCACCTGTTTTCACACGCAAAAGGAAACAAGAAAAATCAGCTGCGAGGGGAGTGCACTCAACTGATTTTCCAGTGTAAAAATTCTCTGTTTGTGACACTTGAACACTTTTTCTATCTAGCAATTGCTGCTCCCCACTGACGGATCAGCGCCGTTATTGAACCACCACGTAACTTCCATGGACAATGGAGGCCGGCGCATTTGGTCAAACCACCACCATTTTCGGGGGCTCGGCCTGTCGGACCTCTTTGGCTGGCAGCGCAGCCAAAAAAGGGGGGGGAGGGAACTGGACCGCAGAGGTTCGTTTTGTTTTTGTCGTGCCGCACATCTTCCCCCGGGGAAAGAGACACGGAGCACTAGTACCTCCGCCAATGTTGGGAAATAATTAGGGAAACGGGTTGTTCCTGAAGAGTTTGGAGGCCTGGACCGATGACAGCTGCCGTTTGATACATCTCATCGGCGCCCGTTGTTTCGTTTCAGTCTCCTAAGAGGTCGGAGGCCCACCTGAGGCCCTCTATTTTCCCACTCGGCAAAGGTACGACGGGTGCCATTGATAAATCGCATCGGCGGCCGTCATGTACTTTCGGCCTCCTAAAAGGTCGGAGGCTCACCTGAGGCCCGCTATTTTCCCACTCGGCAAAGATACTAGTGGTTTAAATGAAAGAGAACACAAATTTCAGCAACTTCAGCTGGTGTGAGGATTGAGAACTCAAGAAGGGGCCTTGCCGTGATATACATGTTCTGGGCTAAGGCCCCCAGCAAGCCTCGTGCCCGCCCTAAGTGAAGGCGGGCCAGCAAATCAA